GCACAACGTCATGAGTTCGATTTCTGGTATGGGGGGGGGGCGGGATTGATCTACTAACAGTACCTGCCTGATGAGCACAAGGTCCTGAGTTCAATTCCTGATACCAAAAAGAAAAAAAAAAAATCCATCTACTAAACCCTAGAATAATCTAGAAATAAATGAGTACATATGCAGTACACACCTACATATATAGCTAGCAGAAGAGACAAAAAGAGAAGATAAAACACTAAAAATACAGTCAACTAATTTAAGAAAGGAGAGGAATAAGAATATGTAGGTCAGCTGGAAAACAAATAGCTAGCTGGTGGGCTTAAATCTATCCATACTGTTATAGGTTGGATCTAAAATGTCCCCCAGTAATCTTCTATGTTCAGAGGTAGGACTTTCAGTGTCCTCCAAAGTCTCATGTATTCAAGGGCAGGATTTCAGGTTCTTGGATTATAGGGGTGCTACACTTATCAATAGCTTATTCACAAATTGAAATAAACCAGTTCTAAAACATCATTATGTGGGGTGAGGTGGTGCATTCCTGTAATCCCAGCTACTCAGGAGGCTGAGGCGGAAGGATCACAAATTGGAACCCAGCCTAGGGCCAGGGATATAGCTCAGCAGCACAAGCACCTGCCTGGCAAGTGCAAGGTCTTGAGTTTGATTCCTGGTACAAAAAAAGTTTCATAAATGTATAGAACCCAGCCTAGAAAATTTATGATTTAGCAAGATCCTGTCTCAAAAAGAGGGATGTAGCTTTGTGAAATGCCTCTGTGTTCAATTCCCAGTAGTGCAAAAACAACAAACAAGAAAAACATCATGAATTTCAAAAAATTGCTGAATGAAATTAGCCAATCACACATACACACACACACAAAATCACACACTGTTTAATTCCACATATATGAAGTTATGGAACAGGTATGACTAACCTTCAGTGATATAAATTAGATCCCATTATGACTTAGAAGGGATAAAAAGGAAATTAGGGCTGTGGAAATGTTTTTATATTTTTACTAAGGTGGTGTCCTGGTTAATTTTCTCATTACTGAGATAAAATACCTGACACCTAAAGTTAAAGGAGGAAAAGTTCACTTGGTTCACAGTTTGTGGAGGTTTCAGTCCATAGCTGGCTGGCTCCAAGGCAGGGTGGCGTGTCAGAGGGACATCATAAAGGAGATGCAGTCACCAGAAGCAGGCAGGCTAGGGCAAAAGCAAGCAAGAGACCAACAACAAGTGACAACCTGTGACAACTTCCTGCCCCTTTTACATGCTATCTAGGCTACCTGGCTCAGGGCAGTGCCCAACTAATCAATGGACTAATTTAGTAATCACACAGCCTTAATCCTAGCATTGTACTATGAATCAAGCACACACTGTCGGTCCAGCAACCTCTAAAAAAGCCCCATTTATGACTGCATGTGGCTTTGGGGGGACATCTAAACACATGCCATAACATTCTATCCTTTCCCCTGCCTCAAAAGACTCAAGCACATCCCTTTATAGAAAAGGCATTAGGTCCATCTCTAAGAGTTGCCAAAGTCCTAAAAGTTTCATCACTCCTGAAAAGTCCAAGTTCCAAATCTCCTCTGAGACTTATGGCAAACTCTTAGCTGTGAACCCCTGCACAAATGAAAAGAAAGTTAAAAACTTCCAACATTCAATGGCACAAGAGACACAGTTCCATTCCAAATGATACAGAGGATAGAAAGGAAAGAGAACAAAGCAAGTCCAAAATCCAACAGGGCAAATACTAAGTCCCATAGTCGTATATCCAGCATCCCTGTCAATCTGTGGCAAGTTGTGAACTCCAAAGGGCTTGGGTGGCTCTGCCCCATGGCATTGCCAGTGGTTGTAGCTCCCATAGTTTCTCCCTTGGGCTGGCTTTGCTCCATCCTTGCAGTTTTCCCAGATAATCAACACTCCTGGTTTCTCCAACCTTCTGGGGTCTTCACTGCACCTTCAGCTTCATACTCGGAGCTTCACACACTGCCTTCCCAGGCCTTCTTCTGAAATCCGGGTGAAAGCCCTCCTAACCCCACAACCCTTGCATTCTGCATACACCTAAAACCAGTACCATGTTCATGCTGCCAAGGTCTGCCAGTAGAGCAGTAGCCAGGCTTTCTTCTGTCTGGGCTGTAGGGGTCAAGTGCTTAGGAACCAAATCCCAAGAAACAACTTCCCTAGGCTGCCACCATTGTAGAACATGGTACTCTGGGGCTCTCTTTTCCAAGTGAAGTCTTTCACTTTTGCAATTTTGAGGTTGTAAAGGATGGAGTCCTGCTGCTTCTTGTGATATCCTCAGGTCATCTTTTTTGTTGTCTTCTTCTGAAAGGCTTGGCTTTTTCTTGCTAGTCTTTTCAGCAACCAGCTTCTCCTCTGTCCCATCTTTGCAGGCCACAACTTTACTGGAGCTTCGTTTTAAATCATTCTGTTGGGCTCTTTACTCTTGAGTCTCAACATAAATCTGGCTAAAAGCCCCCAACAGTATCCATGCCACAGCCTCAACATTAGAGTGCCTTAAAATTTCTCCTACAAGATTAATTAGCCTGCCACCTTTAATCTCAAACACAGGCAGTCTCTGAACATGAGCAAAATGCAGACAAACTTTCTCATCCTTTTTTTTTTTTTTTTTTTGAGACAAGTTTCACTATGTAGTTTAGGCTGGCTTTGAACTCACTATATAGTCCATGCTGGCCTAGAACTCTTGATTCTCCTGCCTCAGCCTCCTAAATGCTGGGATTATAGGCATGTGCCACCATGCTTGGCCTGCAGACAAACTTTCTGCCAAGCCAAAACACACATCCTCTGAAGTCCAACAGTGAATGCAATCTTTCCTCCAAGGAGAAATCTCCTTAGTCTGGTCTTTACGGGGAATATTTCTATCAGCATTCTGGTCTTCTGAGCTCTGAACAGAATCTCCCATCAAGTACAGCATAAAGCTTTCCAGGACTGCTTTTTAGCTGGCATCTCTGAACCTTTCCTAACTCTTGTACTTCCCACAAGCGAGTTTCAAGGTCTCTTGAACTACACAGTCAGGTTCAGTCACTGCAACAACCCTATTTCTCCGATACTAAATTTACTTTCCTTTCCTTGCTGAGACAAAATATTTGACTCCCAAAGTTAAAGAAGGAAGAGTTTATTTTGGCTCACAGTTTGTAGAGGTACCAGTCCACAGTGGGCTGGCCCCACAGCAGGTTGGCATAGCAGAGGGGCATGGCAGAGGACAGTTCATGGCAGGCAGAAGGCAGAAGGTAAAAAACTATTCCGCTGCCCCCTTTTTTTCAGGCTTTTTTTTTGGTCTTTTTTAGACAAGGTCTTGCTATGCAGCTCAGGCCGGCGTTGAGCTCACTTTGTAGCCCAGGCTGGTCTCAAATTCACAAAGATCCTCCTGCCTCAGCCTCCCGAGTGCTGGGATTACAGGCACTGGCCACCACGCCCAGCCTGCCCTTTTATTCTCTATCTAGGCTCACTGGTTTAGGGGGATGCCAAACCAATCAGTGGACTAATTTAGTAACCACACACCCTTAATCTAGTGCCCTTAATTCTAGCCTTGTACAGTGTATCCATCCCCGCATCAAACATTCTAGATCCAGTGACCTCTAAAAAAGGCCCCCATGAGCCTTTGAGGAGACAGCTAAACACAAGCCGTAACAGATGGTGGCTACACAAGTGCACAGTTTTATCAAAACTCATCAAACTGCTTTCAACATGGGAACTTTTTATTTCTCTACATTATAGCTTAATTTTAATAAAAGCAGGAAAGTTTTAAGGAGAGCAAGTAAAGAGTGTAAAACAGAAAAGAGATAACAGAACTGAAAATTATTCGAATACAAAGAAACTACTGGAAAGTTTAGAAAATGTTTCAATCATTTTTTTAAAAAACTCACTTGTTAGCTGGGCATGGTGGTGTACGCCTGTAATTCCGGCACTCGGGAGGCTGAGGCAGGAGGATCGTTGCAAGTTTGAGGCCAGCCTGGGCTACAAAGTGAGCTCAAGGCCGGCCTGAATTGCATAGCGAGACCCTGTATCAAAAAAATAAAAAATAAATAAAAAATAATTTAAAAATCACTTATTGAAAATATAAGTAGAATTCAGCATGGAGGATATATTACCTACATGAGAAATTGAAATAGAGAAACCATTGCCTTTTCTATTTCAGTTAATGCATCTTGTGTAAAAAGTCACAGGGAAGGGAATCTTAGTACACTGCGGCTTCTTTGAGAAGATATTTGGGTAGGGCCTGAGGCTCCTGTTCCTAAGGAGATATCAGGTGCTGTCTGGGCTGCTGCTTCAGCTATTGTTCTTCAAGTAGGGTGGGCATAGATCAGTTTTCGGGGGCATTGATGGTCTATAGCAAGTGACAAGTTTGGTCCAGCAGTTTCCACGATATATGGAATCCACTCGTACATCAATTAAAGAATACTTACATGTAAAAGGACGATTCAACCCCTTTTTACTCATGACTGTAAACAGAATGGGTGCTTACGATGCTGTGCACAGTATGTTTCCAACCACGGTGAAAACTTGAATTAGTTACTCCTACGTAGCAAATGAGAGAACAATTCCTATTTCGTTTTCCTAAACTACTGTGAAGATTGCAGTAGAAAATGTAAGTGGCTCAAAGTATCACAGGAACCATAACCTCAAAAAAAAAAAGCTTAAAAACTCCCGCAGTTCAACAAAGGGGCGGGGCCTTTAAGTAAGAGGCGGGGCTTTGGGATTTTCCTGGCAGAATGTACCAATTATTGGGGAGGTATGAGTCCTTAAAATAATCAGTAATAAAGAACCTTCTGAATTTAAAGTTATCCCTAAAGCAAGACACATGAAATAGGAACTTTTCTCTCATTATGTTAGTCAACTGATATGTAGTTGGTAGGGCAGCGGTAGTATTTCATTTCAGTCTCCAGACAGCACGCAGGGTGCTACTACCCACGCGCCGTGCTCACTCTCTCGCGTCCCGCTTCCCCACCCCCGCCCCGCACCCCCGCCCGGGGCAGGAGTTTCCACTACGCTGACGGAGGCGGCAGTCACGGACTCGTCTATCTCTGCGCCCCACGGAGGGAGGCCGTGAGGAGCCACGTTGCAGAGGACGGTAAGAAACCCGGCCAGGAGACGCGAGATCACAGTAAAATTCGAGTCCGGCCGCGGGGTCCGCGCGGTAGGGTCGGAGCCGGTCCGCAGCCGGAGCAAGCTTCGCCCCGGGCGGCGCGGTCCTCCCCGCGGTC